GGATTGATAAAGCTGACCGGTGTAGAAGACACTGTATGAGTGTGTATATAAGCTGCCCAAAAGATATACATGGATGTAGATATCGAGCCCTCAAAAGTCGTGCCCTCAAAAGGTGTACCCAATCTGTCAAAAGGCGTGCCATCAAAAGGCGTGCCCGAATGCATCAAAAGGCGTGCCATGAAAAGGCGTGCCAGTGTGTCGGGCGGCAAGAGGCGCGCGATGCGCGTGGCTGCCTTGGCTATTTAACCAAGACTGAACCTGAGGCTGAGGCAGAGGCTGAGACAAAAAAAACCTCTGAAAAATTCTGCTTTGTGCTGAGAGAGAGAGGCTGTAACACTGTTGTGCAGAGAGAGAGAGTCTGTAACACTCTGTTGCGAGAGAAAATGGCTTCGTCGTCCCGTGGTCTGCTTACTCTCTTTCCCGACCTCAACGAGTCCACAAGAGAGATAGCAGGTGCGGTGTCCCGTGAACCTCAACCAAACACTGCCGGATTTGCGCCGTTGAACTTTCCGATGCGGTCGGTGGAGCAAAAAATGGCTGTGCAGTCGGATGTGGAGGCCAATCAGTATACTTTGAAGTCATGTGTGGAAACCATGACTGCGGTGACAAACTTGTCGAACCGGCTGCAGAGTAGGGCAAATGAGGTGCAGCAATTAAACTCCCAACTGGCTCTGCTCCAACGCATGTATAAGGATGCGCGAGCAGAGATAAGCGTGCTAAGGGCAGAAAACAAGGAGCTGAAGCGGAAGGCGACCGTGATGTTCCGATTTGGAGGGCCGCCATATGCTGCAGTGGAGGAGCAGGGAGTAGTGATCATGCCCAGTGGAGTGGGAAACTCGGAGGCAGCATCGGCAAGGGCCACCCAGGACGGCGGCAAGAAGAAGAGACCGGCTGTAGAGTAGAGAAAAAAAATCCCGCCTGTGGATGAGGTTGTTGGGTATGGGTGGTGTTTGTTTTGTTTTTGTGTTTTTTTTTTTTTTTTTTTAAAATGGGTCTCCCGACATGAATAAAAGAAGTTGGTGTGCAGTTCGTCCAGTTCGTCTTCTTCGTCTGTTTTTGTTTTTGTTTTTGTTTTTTTTTTTTAAAGTAAAATAGAAGAGAAAATAAAATAAAGAAAGGTAAAATGGTGTGGTGGGAACGTGGTGTGGTTTGTTGAATTCTACGAAAAAGCAAAAAGCAAAGAAAGTGGTGTACTCTCTGGCCCACGAAAAAGCAAAGAAAGAAAAATAATTAGAGAGTGGTATAGTGGGAACTTCTTTTTAGGGTTTCACATGTTGATGAGACTTGCCCCCCCCTCGATGGATGACAGTGGGATGTGGCAAAGTCATTGTTGTGCTGTGAGTCGGTTGTCCATGAAAAAACGGAGGAGCTGAGTGGCGAACGGAGTGAGGCTGCAAATGTTCAAACACAGGAAACAGACTCCCCATATTCACAGACTCTCTCTCACTCTTCCCTGAAAAAGCTCCACCACCATTAACGCTGTCTCGGCCGTTGTCTAAGCTCAAACCCAACGGAATAAACGGCTGATGGAAGCCGGCGGCGTAAGAAGGGATGGCGAGGATTTGCTCGAGGAAGTCGTCGGTGTAGCTCTCCGATGGGTTGGTTGCAAGGTTTTAAAAAGCGGCCGCAACCGTTACGTAACGCCGTTACGTAACGGTTTTGGCAGTTACCGCCACCCGTTACGGCCGCTTTTGCAGTGTGATTGAGATTCACAGTTGTGTCGGCCGTAGCGGCTGCGGTAACGGTCGTAACGGTGCCGTAACAGCCGTAACGGCCTGGTATGCACCGTTACGTAACAGTTTCAAACTGTTTCTTTCGAAAAAACACAAAAAAAAAATTGAAAATGGAAGAAGAGGGATAGAGAGAAGAGGGAAGATAAAGAGAGAAAATAGAGGAGCAAGAGATAGAGAAGAGGGAAGATGAAGAACATGTTATTGATTTGTTAAAACTATAAGACCTATGCTATTCTATTCAGCTGTTATCACTAAATCATTTTATTTGTGTGTGTCTATCTATATATTGTTTGAAAATAATAATAACAATAAGTGTGGTCATTATCTATTTGGCTTGGTTAAAATATATATATATATAAGCTCTTATTTATTCTTTTACTTTTATCATTGTTTATCTTATATATAATAGTTAGTGATTGATTTTTTATATAATATAAAGTCATTAATTATTAAAATAAAATGTAAAAAAATCAGTTTATAGTTATTTAAAAATATGAAATATATTGCATCATACTTAAAATTTACAAAAATTGATCAATATTTATTTTTAACCCAATAAATATGATCATGGAAAAAAAATATGCGTATCGGTAAGTTTTTTTCAAATTGTGCAAAAAATAAAAAAATTCACGGTTCCGGTTACCGCAACCGTTACACTACGGCCTTTACACCCCGCAACCGCAATCGCGTCACCGCCACCGTTACGGCGATCGCAACCGCTTTTCAGAACCTTGGTTGGTTGACATGCCGGAGATGTGAGGAGAGAGAGAGAGAGAGAGAGTGGTGTCGGAGATGGGGGAAATAGATTGATAGGGTCTGTTTGGGGGTGGGGGAAGATTTTTAAAGTAAAATTCCCTTGCGGTTTTTGCGTCGACCCATGATGGCGATCGATGCTCCATGCTTGCCCAACTGTGTGGATATCTCTCTCTCTCAATTTTACAAACAGAGACGACACAGTTTTTTCTTGGTTGGAGGATGAACATGAAGACAACTTTGATTTTGAACGACTGCCTTCAAAATGAGATCTGGAAACTGAGAGAGTGACAGCTTCCTTCTGAAGAGAAAGAGAGCCAGAGCCCTCAGCCCATGTGTGTGTTGTGGTGTTTGTGTGTATGGCAGTGTGTGGATCAATATGTGACGCTTCTGCTAACTCCGAATCAAAACAGCGGGAGAGAAGGTATGTGTAGAGGTCCAGCGGGCGGCCAAGGCGAGACTGCCGCCCGCCGGTGAAGCAGAATGACTAGGTTGTTAACCTAGCTCTGATACCATGTAAAATAAATTGATGTATTATTATTGATTGATATGTATATTACAAGATTGATGTGTATTTACAATGTTTACAATTCCTATATATAGAAGAGAGGGTGGTAGTAGGTGTAGGTGGTAGTGGAGGTGGTAGGTGGAATGGGTAGTGGAGGTGGTAGGTGGGTGGTAGTTTACATTTTACAATTTACATTTTACATTAACACTTATTATGGGGGAAAAAAATTCAATGTTCTGATTAATGTGTGCCCCCCTCTACATTGAATTTCTAACTTCGCCACTGCTCGCAAGGATTTACCACGGGTTCCATTTTGATAATCCAAACCGTTGAATATGCAAAACTCGTCGAGTACTATATGCTTGTAAAAAATTACGTTGATCAGATATCGATGGATATGTGATCAAATCAGTTTTGTATAATAAAAAAAATGGACGGTGAACAAATTAATGGTTGACAAAAAAATGATTTGATCTCATAGTTATCGATATCTGATCAATGTGATTTTTTTATAAGCATATAGTACTCGACGAATTCTACATATTGAACGGTTCGGATTATCAAAACGGGACGCGTGGTGATCCCCCATGGGCCGAACAACACCGCCCAATTCGATTAAGGAATGGAGGCAAGTTGCTCCCTATATTTATAATAAATTTTTAAAAGATTGTTGAAGGGTACATTATATTAATTTTTAGTTTGAAATAATAAGGTGAAAAAAAATAATAATTGAAGAAGGTAAAGTGTAATTTACCCTAATTATATATAGGACTTTCCGTACAAGTTTTGTATAGGATATTTGACAATTTATTTGGAATCACTATAATTTTTGCACGAAATTTGTCTACATTGAACAAGCAAGTTTAGTGGGCATCTCATTTTTTTTAATATACATATATATATATAGAAAATTATATGGTGTGTATATACATTTTAGTTACGATTTATATATGTATATCTATAGAAAATTATATGGTGTGTATATGCATTTTAGTTACAATTTTTATATTATGATATGTTGAAATGTTAGTTATGATTTACTTATATATATTGTATTGTCAATTATTATTTATTGTGATATTGATTATAATATTACTTTAATTATAGTTCAAGAGCTTTTTTATTGTATCTTATGTGTGTTTGATTATAATTTTTTTTAGTTATAGTTCCCATAATATTGAATTATGACATTTGTGGTAATCAACTCCATGAATATAATAACTTGCATATGATACACGCTTAACATTACCCTATAGTATATTAATAAATAAATATAAAAAACAATGACCGAATATAAATTCATTAGATTTATTTTTTGTCTCTAAATTTTTCCAAGAATAAAATAGCAACGTAACCAAAATTACAATCATGAAGGTGGGAGAAATTAATAAAAAGATGATATAGTAAGAAATTAAGTAAAAAAAAAAATTATTCTTTTAATTTTCAAAAAGTAAAAAATTTGTTTGTCTTGATATATGTTTGTGTGAATAAAATACAACATTTATTAGTCTAAAATAATGACTCACAGTAAAAGATTGTACCGACCTCACCTCATTCGAACTTACTATTTTTGACTAATCATAAAAATATATTTTATGCAGAGAGTTTGAAAATGTATAAACAAGATGGAGGACTAGTTGATAGACTACTTGTAAAATGAATCAAGGGCTCTAACTTAGTTGGCTGCTAAGCCTTTTGGCTATTAATTAAGTTTTTTTTAAAGGGAGATTTGGTTCTACTCTTAAGAGAGAAATGGAAAGATAAGATTTTCTTACAAGGTGTATGGGGGTGTGAGTTTTAACTCTTCCAATAGGCCTAATCTAACAACAAACCACAAACTTTCACCGATTAAAAAATAAAAAAGACAACTTGTAAAATGTTGAAATTGGATAGTGATTTCGTGACTGTCTTTATCTTGGGTTCGTGACTGTAGGTCAAAATATAATCCTGCACAGGTGACAAATTGTTTCAATTAATTAATTAACTGTATGCATGAATGAATGCAGAACCGGTGTGTAAACATGATAGCAGATTTATTTCATGCACCACTGGGAGACGGAGAGGCTGCAGTAGGAGTGGGAACAGTTGGATCATCGGAGGCAATAATGCTGGCTGGTTTAGCATTCAAGAGAAAGTGGCAGAACAAGATGAAAGCTCTTGGCAAACCCTATGATAATCCCAACATTGTCACCGGTGCCAATGTTCAGGTACAACTACTACATTCACATATTTATATATACACGCATGATGCATTGCTGCTCGAAATCAAAGACATTTAAGGACCAATTTTTATGATAATGAGGATAGTCGTTAAAAGGTCGTCCCAAAAAGTCAAAAAATAAAGCTTTTAGCGACAGAATTTTGAAAATGTCATTAATAAATATAGATTTTTAAGGACAAAATTTGGTCCCAAAAAGATAATGATTCATCACTGATGTTTAATTTTCATTGCTAAAAATATAATAATGACACTTTTAGCAATAAAAATATTTGGTTCTTAAAAAATAATTTTATCCCTAAATTTTGGTCCCTAAAACTTTAATTTTGTGTAGTGATTGGACTTATCAATCGATTTATAACCTTTCGAGCATGGTCAATATATTCAAACTCCCAATACTTGTAGGAGTATATCTTGGATTGGTCAATTATGTTATATCTAACAGTTCATTTTCAAATTATAAAATAATGAGGGCAGATATATATTAAAAATATCAGCAATACTACATACTGAGAATTCAATCTAGAAATAGCAATCAATGGCTTATATTCATTCTATACATAAACTCTACACTATACTAATTCAATCTCTACTACAAAAACACATTCCGGATAAAAATATGGACAATTTTCTGAGTTAGGAGGATTTCAGTAAAAATAATGGATGGTCTACTCTAAAATCTTGTTACCCATTTTTTTGTTTTAAAATAAATGTGATTTGATCATGTGGTTATGATTATTTGATCAACGTGAATTACACAACTGGAGACGAGCTTGGTTCTTTCACAAATGTCATTTCTGAAAGTGTTTTTTGTCTTTACAAAAAGTTTTGACTGATAGGTCACATTGTACTTCATGTTCAACTAGCTAATTTATGCTCAGCTCAAGTGATTAATACAAGTAATATGAGTATGGTGTGTGTGTGTGTGTGTGTGTGAATATAGGTATGTTGGGAGAAATTTGCAAGGTATTTTGAAGTGGAGTTGAAGGAGGTGAAGCTGAGGGAAGGGTACTATGTGATGGACCCAACTAAAGCTGTGGAGATGGTTGATGAGAACACTATCTGTGTTGCTGCTATTTTGGGTTCCACACTAAATGGAGAATTCGAGGACGTTAAGCTCTTGAATGACCTCTTGACAGAGAAGAACAAACAAACAGGGTACACATTTCGAACATATTTATACACTCACTAACTACTACTACTAGTAGATAGAGATTATATAATTTTTTTTTTCTTAAGAAGAATGAATTGCATGCATGTATGTAGATGGGATACACCAATACATGTAGATGCAGCAAGTGGTGGATTCATAGCACCATTCTTGTACCCGGAGCTGGAGTGGGATTTCAGGCTGGAACTGGTGAAGAGTATAAATGTTAGCGGACACAAGTATGGACTTGTGTATGCAGGTATTGGTTGGTGCATTTGGAGGAGCAAAGAGAACTTGCCTGATGAACTCATCTTTCATATCAACTATCTTGGAGCTGATCAACCCACTTTTACCCTCAACTTCTCCAAAGGTACACCTTCCTTCCTTCCTTCCTTCCTACTTGCTTCTAATTCATTCCTTCAAGTGCTATTGGGCAAATTACACTGCCTAGCCACAATGTTTTGATCCTTGCATCATTTTGGTTTCGGTAATTTCAAGTGGTTCATTTTTAACTCTAAATTTATGATTTTATCTCAATTTGATCTAATGAATTATTGTTGTTAATGAGCTGATTAGCAGGGCACGTGCCATGCTTTTAAAATAATTTTTTTTTAAAAAAGCGATATTATTAATTGGATCAAATTGACACAAATCTAAAATTAATGGTTAAAATCGAACCAATTAAAATTGTTGGGACCAAAGTGACACGAGAGACAATATGTAAAAAACTATTAAGGTAATTTGCCCTGTTATATATAATTGGCTGCGGCTTATAATTGGGTTATGTATTATGTATCTCTTTAAGATGTACATTTATATATTGGTTTGGTTTTAAATTTTCAGGTTCTAGTCAAGTAATTGCTCAGTACTATCAACTCATTCGCTTGGGTTTTGAGGTGAGCCCCCTCTTGAATATTAAATGAATCTCATATATAGCTTGAAATACATAGCTTTTGCTAGTGGATAATGTCCTTCCATATTTCATGGAAGAAGGAATTTGAAAAAGTCCTTAGTTTTACAATCAGCATAAGGCTAATATCAATTACAACCTCAGATTAACAACCTCAAAATGTTTAGTGCACGGGATTGATCACTGGATTTTGATCCTCTTCATTTTGTATATGGAATTGATATATCAATTTCATTTCATCAGAGCATCTCCAAGGATATAATATTAATAACATTATTCTATTTTAACCCAACGTATACTACACCATGGTTAGAATGTGTTTTGTTAGTACACTTTGTTTTTTGCTCTACGAATATGTTCAAAGTTAATGGTGAAAACCGTGAAATTGCGTTCCTTTTATTGTGAAATTAAAGGAGTATGGTAAATGTATCTGGTGATATTTGCTTTGCAACACACCCAAATTCCAAATGAAACATTTTGTTTTTGGTTCTTTAATTTGTTCGTTTGTATTCATAATTTTGTATACCTACCTGCAGGGATACAAGAACATAATGGAGAATTGCCAAGAAAATGCAATGATGCTTAAAGAAGGATTGGAGAAGACAGGACGGTTCGACATAGTGTCCAAGGACAATGGAGTCCCACTAGTGGCCTTCTCACTGAAAGACAACAGCTGTCACAACGAATTCGAAGTGTCAGACTTGTTGCGCCGCTTTGGATGGATCGTCCCCGCCTACACCATGCCCCCCGACGCCCAACACATAACCGTGCTGCGAGTTGTCATTAGGGAAGACTTCTCGCGCACCCTTGCAGAGCGCCTTGTTAGTGACATCCAGAAAGTCTTGCTCGAGCTAGATAGCCTCCCTGCAAGGGTTAGTGCCAAGATGGCTGTAGTCCAAGAGTCAGTTGTCAAGAAAACTGATCTTGAGGTGCAGAGGGAGATCACTGATGCTTGGAAAAGGTTTGTCCTCAGTAGGAAGAAGACTAATGGTGTTTGCTAATTAATTGATTGAAGAGAAATGGCTTTGAAGGCCACTGTCATAGACCTTGGTGGTTCTTTATTATTGTTTTATTACCACCTATGTATTTGGTTTGTCTGGCTTTTATGGGTTGCCAAGTCCTGAGTTGTTTGAAGTGTTTTATGAAGGGGAGACTATATGTAGACGTGTAGTGTACAACTTAATTTATGGAATGTTGTGCCCTGCCTTATTTTTGTTTTAAAACGTTCAAATATGCTGAAAAATTTGCTTCATAAAAACATTCTTAAACTACTTATAATTTTGACTGATTCAAACATCAGCTCCAATTCGATTTTGCAATATGCTTGAATGTGGAAGACTTCGTTTGCAGCAATGCTAATATACCCAAAAAACATATTCATCAAAATGCTCAAAAATATGAAATGTGTATTCTACGTGTAACTTATACCAAGTTATTTTGGGAAGTAGATTAAAAATTAACTTTTTGATTTTTTTTTTTTTTTTTTTTGGCTTTTGTTGAAAAAACATGTAAAAAAGTAAAAATGTGATATGATCTAAAAAAAGATTAAAAGCTAAAAAACTGCTTTTAACCTCTTTGCCAAAAAATACAAAGCTTAAATCTATACTATAAATTTAAATTTTCAACTTTTTTTGATAAAAGAAATTTGAATGTACCTACAAAATTGAATACCCACGTCCTAATGGATGACATCAAAAGGAATTAATTAAGCAAAAATTTTAATCATATTTGCTTAATTAATTCCTCTATGTGGTAAACATGGAGCATGTACGTGGTACATTGGAAAAATAATAACAATTCCATAAACAGCAATGCTATGTATCATTGTCTTTCATGAAAATGATTATGAAAGATTTGTGACCTTTGAATTACACTTAGAATAAAGCACCACACACTAATCAAGGTAATCTAATGATCACAAATCTTTCATGATTATTTTTATAAAAAAAATTTCATGATCCTTAACATTTCTCTTCCATAAAAAAGTAAGTAAAATCTATATAAGAACGCTGGGTGGGCTTTGAATCTTCGTATACACTTCGTGCAATGGCTAGGATTGTTTCTCCTGTAATCCTACGGCCCATTTTCTATATAATAAATTAGCATAATATACTTACTATGCACGTGTATAAATAAATAATCAAAATTTTAAAATTAAAATTAAATTATATATATAATTTATATCATTATTTTTCAGGTTGTGACCAACATGAGTTAGTTTTAAAGTTTCAATATTGGATTAAAATACTAAAAGTCGCTTAGAAATTAAGTTCGAATCGATTTTTATGCCAATAATTCTTAGTTGAAGCGTAATCATTAGAGAATTATCTTGGTTCATATCTAATTCACATAAGTTACTTGGTACATTTATTTGTTTAATTTTTAATTGATAAATACATTCGAAAATATTTTTTATAACATAAATAAGAAATATGTACATTTATATTAACATTTTTTTAACTTTAATTAAGAAAATATATATTTATTTTTAAAATATGTCTAATATAGCTATTGTACCAATATCAAAGTATATATACATTTGAAAAATTATTTAAGACCAGTTTAAGCTAGTCCTTTTTTTCTTTCTATATATTGAAACATGAACAAAAAGTGATGGCTTAGTTTAAAAAATATTTTATAACTATAAATTTAAATTGTATCATTTTTTTTATTTAATCTTTTTCTTAATAGAATTAGATTGTTTGATAATTATAATTTATAGCTAAAAATTTTATTTCTTATTTTCATTTAAATATTTTTAAATTATATATAATTAAACATTCATTTAATTTTTCTTTTAAATCTCAAATGAGATGTAACATAGACATGGTTAAAATTTATTTTTGACTTTTCATTTACAAATTTTTTAATTTAAAAAAATAGTGAAGCCAATAATTTAATACATATATATTTTATGCTACATTTTAAAATTTTAAAATAAAAAATAAATAGAAGACTTAAATATAAATTAAAAAATGATATAATTAAAAATACATGTATTTTTTAAGCACGGCATATGTATTTTTGGACATGGTATAAAAATATGCACTGCACATGTATGTTTTTTAATTTTTTTATACGTGCTGTACAAAATTTTCTTTTTGATTAATAAATGTGTCATAAATATTTTGACGCTTAAATAATTCTTAGTTCTTTAAACATAACATGTATTGTTTAGTTTTTAAAAATAAAATAAAAAATTCAATGTAAATATTTTTAAAATTTGAAATTATATGAGACTAAATTACATTTGGAATTTTCTCTTAAAGATTTTTAAATTTCGAATTAGATATGGTTCAAATATATAGTGCTACATATGGCTAAATTTTTATTTTTATTTTCTATATTAAGATTTAAAATTTTGAAATCATGGATGTGGTTAGATAAACTAAAATTTCTATGCTCTATGTATTTCTTAACACTTAAAATTTTTAAAAAAAATTAAAAATGTTTTAGATTAATGTTTTGATGCTCATAGAATTTTTTGGACAAAAAATTCACGTTACTTAATATGTAGTGTAGTTGTAGATATATACGGAATCATACCATAGCAAGTGTTTCATTTTAAAACCTAAATCATAAGGAAAAAACAAAGCAATTGTTTTCTTTTTAATTGAATTTTGAAATTTATTATATATTTTCTTTTTCAAAATCATGGACTAATTAGTCAATAGAAAAAAAAAAATTATTGTTTAAAATTTTAGAAATCTAGAAAATTAAAATGTCACTTTACTATAAGATTGCATACTAAAATTTTTCCTAATCTTTTTGTTACATATAATCTTAAAAGATTTCTCCACTATAAATCTATCCATTATTCCATCAGACCTTCTAGTTGAAATTAGTCTCTCTATCACTTGTTCTATTTTGCTAAGAGCAATCATCCCTAGTTATCTCCGATAATTTCTCAATTCTTATCCCAAAAAATACTGCCTCATCATAAATTTGTCAAAATTTCTACCCAATATAACTATAAACTGTATTCTAAAATTTCTCCTAAATCTCTCACATAATTTTTTTAAAAGCTCGCTCTCTAAATGTTAATTTTAAAAAACAGTGAATCTAATAAATAAATAACTCAAAAAATTACGAGTTCCGTAGCTCGAATTGAAGACCTCCGAATGGCCCGAATGTGTTGAAAACCCCCCGAACTTTTTTTTTTCAATGGAAAGCTCTGTTGACGGACCCACCAATTCTTCTCTTCACACCATCAGTGGCATAAGCATAACTAGTAATGATAAAGATCACTAAAAGTGATACTCTAAAACATCACTGATGTGTTGACATCCATTTTTTTATAAAAAGAAAAAAAAGACACAACGACACTGTGGCAGTGGGTGGAACTCACTGTCACATCATTAGTGGTGGCACTAATTAGTACTCTTACTCATTTTTCTAACCATAACCATCCCAAAGCTCTCTCACACTTCCACTTTCCAACCTTTCCTTTTCTTTATCTTTCTCTCCTCTCTCGTCTCTCTTCTCTTCTTTTCTCTGTTCCTCCACTTTCCTCTTCTTTAATGGCTGCCCCATAACCTAACCCCTCTATCATTGTATGTGCGTGGGTCGGTGTTTTAGCCTTTTGGGTCTCTCTTTTTGGTCGATGAAGATTATCTACAAAGCTCTTCAAAAAAATTACAGATTTTTTCTTCTGGATGTATGATGGTTTTGGGTATTTAAGGTTCTGCAATGGCTAAGATCCATTTTAAAAAATGTCTCTTATAAGTTGCAACTATGTTCAACCGTCCAGATTTATCTAATTCCTGCCTAATCTCTCTGCACTTACCTACCCCCATTGCACTATGTTACACCACCCCTGCTATCAGTAAGGATGGACAAATCTCGAGTCAGGTCAGGCTGAGTTTGCACTAGATAATAAGAGGATATCTATTATTTCAAATTCAACTTGATATCAAATCTAATTTAATCATTTTAAATCCAATCTTAAAAAAAAATTAAATACCAAGCTTGTCTACTTAACTTAAAAGATATGCGTCAATAATTTTTTTTTTTTTATATTTTTGAATTGATATTAAATTATTTAAATTCTTTTATTTATTGAATTTGGAACATCAACAAAATTCAATCGTAAAATAAATTTTGATTTTTAATAAATATTTTAATTTAAATCCTAACAAAGTATGTATTTTTTTTTTCTTATATATATATATATATATATATATATATATTTACTAATATTACATAAAATGTGACTATTGTTTTCATTAAGGGTGGGGTAATAAAATCTTTTCGCTTCTAATCTTATGAGATTGGATTAGAAATGTTTAATAATATGATTCCACATTTAAAACTAAATTGATTAATTAATAATTAATTAAGTTCATTTGATAACTATAATTAATATTATTTAAAAATTTAAGTGCCTCTTAAAATATAGGCTAAAATTTAAAAAAAAAAATTAAGTCATATACAACTTATTAATTGTGACTGAATTTATAAATATTAAACATAAATATCGATATACTCTATTAGAAACTCACTACCATCACCGCTATCACTACTACCACCTCCACAACCACTACTATAACCATCATGCCACCGCCATCACTACCACTACCATTACCACTACCGCCACCATCACTATGTCACCACCATTACTGTCGCTATCACTACCACCATGTCACCGCTATCACTACCACCACCTCCACCACCCACCACCATAACCATCATGCCACCGCCACCACCACCATCATCATGTCACCATCACTATACCACTACCACTACTACCACCACCATGCCACCACTACCACCATGCCACCGCCACCACCATCATGTCGTCGCCGCCACCACCACCACCACCACTACCATCACCTTCATCACCATTGTCATTATTGCCACGAACATCACCATCATTTTACTACTACTATCAACGCCACCGCCACTACTACCATTACCACCATCACAATATAAACATTAAAATGTATAATTTAAAAATAATAAATTTCAAATTTTATCTTACACATACCAAATAGCATATTTTTAAGGGTAAACTACCAATAGGTTCCAATAGTTGGACTTAATTCCCATCAAGTTCTATTAAAAATAAGTCTTGATAAAATTGTCACTAAAAATATTTTTCTTGTGACAATTTTTTATATATGTCGCTAAAAATTAACAATTAGTAACTTTTTTTGTCATGATTTTTGTAAATTGTCACTAAAACTTACAATTAGTGACTTTTTTTATGACAAATTTTTCCTATAGGACCTATTAGACAAGAAGTCCACTTATTAGGAC